TTAAATAGTTTGTTTGTACTTTGTACGGGATTATATATACATACATTCGATATAACCGTTTAAATTAGCTATAATCTCTATCGATCATCGCCCTGATCTTCTTCATTCGAACAAATTTATTTAAGATACGTTGCTGAGAAAAATCTGCCAACATAAGCCTTTAAGCCTACAGCATAGTAGGTATTATATACGTACACATTCAGTTCATGTAATGAAATTTTCAAGGTCAAAACCGGACATATGAAAAACAATAATTTTTAAAATACTTTCAAACTCCTATTTCAACATTGCAGCCGATAATTTAATTTAATAAAAGGTCAGGCACTTTTTATTTATAAAACAAAACAATAGTTTCATAACTACGGTGCAATCTTAAAAGTACCGTTTTTTTCTTTTCTTTCTTTGTAGTGTAAAAAAAGCGGAGAATATATTAATAATAGGTATTGCAAGAACATTGATATGAGGTAAATAGTTTCGTCCGTATGGCAACATTTGGAAAAGAAAAATAACGAAACAGTACATACATACGAGGTTTATCAAATTATTTCGTTTAACTAACTATAAAAATAATAATCATTTTGCTATCCGTTTGTTGCACAATATTTGTACAAAAACGAATTAAATATTTGCTTTAGTTATCCACCGATTTAAATCTAGCGCGAATTGTACTAAATGTTTTAGAAATTAATTAACGCGGTACGGAATCTCGATGTGGGGTTGGCGACGCGAACATAATGTAACTGATTAGTGGTCGGAGTAGGTAGATTGATTTTATATACTTGCGTCAAGATATAATATGGACATGCCATATTATCCATAATGTGCGGGAAGTACGTTATATTCTGATCTTATTTTCTCTGATATATGATGAAGAGCACGCGCCAAACATGTTACATTTTTCATTTCAGGTAAATATCAGCGTAGATTGATATTATTAATACGTTTTTCACCTTAAACATAGATTCATGCTAATTTCAAAATTCCGGAACAAATATCACAATAAATATGAAGTTCCGGTATTTTGGAGGCATATCCATATTATCCTCTAAGTTTGACGTCAACGACTTTAAATCAATCTACCCACTCCGACCTCTGCTTATGATTGAAGACATGAGTGGATGAAGGGGCCATGATACAATTTGTTAATTTTAAGAACACGGGCATCAAACTTTTATTACTTGTGCTTTTTCTTCGCACATAACTCTTTCATCACATGCAATTTTTAAAAATAGCCTTTAATCGCGAAGTTTTAAGATCTAATATGATATATAGGCACATAGGATACACATAGAATTTATAGCCATCTGCGTAATTTCTCAATTTGTTAAATATGTAAATAGTAGTCTAGGTCAAGATTTAAGAGTTTATGTAGTAAATAAATTATTATTATTATTGTAGGCACATAACACCTTTATTCAATGTAAAAACTCAAAAATCTTAAAAATTGTACTTAACACCTTCATCCACTCATGTCTTCAATTATTAGATCGTATATCGATGTGCAGTCCGACACAATGTAGCAACTATTCTACAATATTTGGTTAGCTGCTCATTTATTTTAGCCACAAGTGACGTCACACACGATGCAACCTGTCACGCGTTCGCATTCTCAATCGCTCCGTAATATTTTGACGGTATTTTTTAACGGTTCGGTTGTTGAACTCATCTGCTGTTGCGGCTACAGCAAAATAAATAGGCTTTAATTTACTATTAAATGACCTTCTTAGATTTATATTACATTCTCACCGCGCGCGACTCGTGAATAGTTGAGTCTCTATATTCCGAAATTCCGAAAACGCCTACATCTTGCACGGACGCAAGCTATGACGTCATTTCTGTTTTTGTTTTTCAAACCCAACCCCACATGACTACAGAGTTACACTCGACGAAAGATATTCGATTTTATACTTTTTTATATTATAATATGGATCTTCTCGTATACAGCAAAACATATATTTATCTATATTGTACATGCACGAAAAAGGCACTATGTATTAACGAAAATCGTTAAAAAAATAAATTAATAAAACTGCGAAATAGTTCGTGTGAAATTCATTAAACATATTAATTATACTGTTTCGAAAACGAATTAAATTCATTTAGGGTTGTAAAACCTTTATCGATATTAATTATCGATACGAGTTCATTGCTTTATAGAAAACGATGAAAAAAAAAGCGAAAAAGAAAAAATATAATCAAACAAATAAAAACAAAAGGTTATTATCACTTAACTACTAAATGTACGCGCGTGGAAGATCGCCTATTCATATATTTGGTTCGTAATTCCGTCGACTGACGTTTTGTGCAGAGTTCAGACAACGAAACTGATTCTAAAGCTTTTTTATCGAAAGCTCTCCCGAAAGCACAACGAGATTGCTCGTCTCGTCGAAATACAAAATGGCCACTAACGACTCGCTCTTGTCTTTTTGAACAATCCGAGGACCCAACGATAAATACGTGAAAAAAAAAATCGAAGTTCGCGTTATCCTCTATGACCCTACGAAACGGTTCATACGTACTCACGCGAACACAAAAATTGTACTAATAACAGATTAAATATATCGACGCTTGTAAGGCAAACGTGACTAAGCGACAATGCGTGAACTTTACAGTAGACTAATTTAAAGTTGAAATTCCTGAAAAAAAAAAATATTTTAACGAAGCTAGCTGTAGGATTGAAATGAGTTTAATAGACCTAGAAATATATTTTTTTTTGCGCATCGAATATGGTTATTGCCTATCATCACTACATAGTATAAAACAAAGTCGCTTTCTCTGTCCTTATATCTGTCTGTCCCTATGTATGCTTAAATCTTTAAAACTACGCAACGGATTTTGATGCGGTTTTTTTTAATAGATAGAGTGATTGAAGGGGAAGGTTTATATGTATAATAACATCCATTAAATAGCGGAGAAATCAATAATAAATTACAGTTAATAAGCGAAGCGAGGGCGGGTCGCTAGTATATGTATAAAGCAGTTATTGTCGCTTAGTCACGTTTGCCTTTCAAGCGTCGATATGTATATATATAACTTTATAACAAAACTTAGGCCATTGTCCGACCGACAACTTAGCGAAGTCGCGCAGACCTGTCACTTAAGGCTCGTTCCCAAGTAATCAATTCCTTACCAGCTTTGCTAAGCTTTCATAAAACGCCTCTAAAAATGTATGCATTTTGCGCGCCACCCCGTGCGGACTGTGGACTCTTCCAACTTGTAGTCTAAACTTTTACAAATTCATTGAAATTATAACCTAAAAACGATCACACATCTATAATAAAAATAATAAACGTTATATCTTCAATATAAAACTACCGTCCGAATTGAGAACCTATTTTATTTGAAGTAGGTTAACAAGTCCCATCTATTATTATGTAGCCTATCATTAGTAGAAAGTTGCTTAGTACAGAATGTAGATTTTGAGAAAAACAAATCAACGAATTGGTTTTCTGAAGGGAAAAAAAATATCGATAAAAAAATATTTAGATGTGTGACGTCATTATGTTTAACCACTAAAATTGTTTTCAAGTATAATTCAGTAGAAACTCACGCTACCTCCTGGCGCGGTCCCCAGGCGCAGTCCCACAGACGACGGCGGTACGAAAAATGAATACATCGAAAAAAAAAAAACAAAAAAAAAACACCCTTAAAATCCTAAGTTAAGTTCGTCATACACTTGAGTTGCACGAAATTCATTATATTAAAAAAATAGTGTCGACCATTCCAATCATTAAATAATTTAATATTCACGTATCGAGAGCGGCGCCGCGGAGCTTTCGCAGCTTTCTCGGAGACCGTCGACTTCAGCTTTCGGTGTGAGCTTATGCGTATCGGGTCGGCATTTTAATTTACATATTTGACTAGATCAATGTTTCGAATCAAAAAAACATCTAAGCGATATAGATACGATTTTAAATATACGAGTCTTCGTTTGGGCCTGTCTATAGATGCAGTAAAGCAAGTCCACGATGTTTCGGATGTGAAATACATTATTTTAAAAATATATAAAAAAAATTACGAGTAAAGTCACAGGACACGCCTAGTTTAATATAATCCTAATAAAATACACTCTTTATTAATTATACTATATGTAATAAAATTCGTAATATTATAATTTGTGCATCATTTTTGAACGCAGAACCATTGGTGCGGGATACAAATTCGTTGAGGTCATATTTGCACAACGTATAATAAATACAATGATGAAGCTCACACCGAAAACAATATTTGGCAAGTCACATTCAGACGACCGGCCATTGCAATAATCCAAACAAAAGCACGTATTGTCATTAAAAAAAAAAAAACACCGTGACACAAACAGCCTAATTAAACCTACAATTAATATATTAATATTTCTCAAGTACAAATATATTATGGTCTCTTGTATGTCCCGCCTTAGTCTTTACGAATACACCTCTCGCTCACCTGAGAATCCATTATCATTATTGTACACAAGTTTTACATAAATAGCTGCGGACTTCGCATAATAAACTATGCCCGAAGCGAGATTCAAGACTTTTATAATACTTTAATTAATCTATCGAGGAACATTAAACAATTAATATTGTTTCAATAAAAGCGTACAATCGTTTTTTAATTGTGTGTACTTTAAATGCATTAATAATAATAATAATTTTAGAAATTGCTTAGCGGAGTTTCCTGTTTTTTTTTTCACATTTCTTTCATTCATTCTTTATCTTCTCAATAAATATAATATCTTGATATGACATCGAAGATTGCAACAATCCCTCAAACGTTAAAAACATTAGGCTTACATATAAAGGCGATATACAACCATTATGCGTATTATTCAAAATAAAAGTGCGTCTCCTATACAATTCAATTTTGAAATTGTCATAGTTTTTGAGCAGAATAACATTAAACACCTATACAGCGGGTAGAAGATAATTTTTTTTTTTTAATAACGATATGCGATTCAATACAACGAATGTTAATTAAAAAGAAACAATTTTAAGTAAATTGTATTTTGTTTAAAAACGGAAATGGAATTTTAAAAAAACGATCGCCGATACGTCGTACTTGAGACGTCGGTTATCGTTTTAATTAATCGATACGGACGCGTGCTATCGATAATCGAGTGTTCGTTGTAAGGTTTATCGGACGCATTCGTATCGAGATGCAGCGGTTTCGGAAATCGATTTTATATTATCGATTAATTAGTTTGTAAGGTTTATCGTACGCATTCGTATCGAGAGGCAGCGGTTTCGAAAATCGGTTTTATATTATCGATTAATTAATGGGTCCGGTGGCCAGGTAGTGGTACGGGTGTCTGTTCGGCACGAACCTCGCGTCGTACCGCTGGCTCTTGGCGTAGAGGTCGCCGCGGTTGACCTTGCGGTACTGGGCGCGCCGGCTCTTGTCTTGCTTGTCGGCTGGTTTGTTCGGAACTTTGGTCGCGTCCGGCTTAGGTTCCGGCTTTGGTTCGACGGCGGACGGAGTTCCCTGAGAAATTAAAGAACAAGATGCTTTAGGTATCGAATACATCGTTTTTTTAAGGGATTTTATGACCTGGTAACTAAGACCTTTCAATTATGTCTTATTTAAATTTATATTCTTATTATTATGAAAAATGATAAAATGGAGTGAAATGAATTGAAGATTAATTTGAGGCATTAATCAACTGGGATAAAATTAAATGAAATGATATGAGATGATTTGGTATGAAATATAATCTTAGTAAAATAAATGGTGGTCATTCACTGAGATTTTTTCGGTGGACTTTTTGGAGGATCCCGAGAAGTTACGTCCAGCGGCTTTGTTTAATTTTCCCACTTTTGTGCGCTTTCACAGATATTAAACAGTTAATAAACCACCGTTATTACACATTTTAACCCGAAGAAACACTAAATAGACAAAATAAAACAAATCACGCAACTTCACTCCTCGCGTTCCCGCCAAAAAGTCCTTGAATACATCTGAATTGTATATTTTTACAGACACATTTTAAAAGATAATGTTTTAATACTCTGTACATAATTTAAAACTTTACAATTTTAGTGTAGATATGTAGAAAGTCACGTCTTGAAAGTCGGTATTGTATAGTATTAATGATCATAATTATTGAAAGGACGGTTGCTTTAACGAAGTATGTATAAATGAAATGTTTTTTTCTATAGATATCTCAATAACGTCCTTTAGAGCACGAGTAGCTGGGCCTAAAATGGCCCATGTCCTTTATAATAGCGGGGTCTTCAACGAAAACGCAGCAATTATATTGAATGCACACCTCTTTGACTTCAGTGGACTGCTTCGGAGCTGCCTGGGTGGAGACACTCGGAGGGTTGGAGATGTCAGGGGCTTGTTTAGATGGTGAGGCTTGTTGGGAGGCGGGTTGAGACGCTTCACTCTGTAATAATAAGTCATTATTGTACAACAAAATCTACCTTCATGACTAAACTTAATGCTGCATTATTCATCAGTAGTATATTTTATAAAACTAGCCATACTCGCCTGCTTCGCTGGGCATTTAAAATTAACATTATTATTTATTGTCATTATTAATATAAATATTAGCTTATCCATTAAGTACATGTATTTTCTACATGGATACCAAGTTTCAAGTCAATCGGATGCACCGTTCAGTAGTTATAACGGAACATCCGTAAAAACCACTGTAGATTTATATATTAGAATAGATAAAACTCAAATATTATAATATGTATCCAAATATGTAGATTAATTTTTTGTAATAAATATTACCTCATAAGTGCTGTGTATCTTAATAATTTCAATTTCATTGAGAATAAAGAATGTAGAGTTGATTTAAAGGGTGGGTGAATGAAGTCACCGGCACGGCTCGTGCTAGGGTTCGTGTTAGCAACGTCGTCAGGTTTGAGCCCCGTGATCTCACCTACTAGTTAAGGTTACGCTGAAATAGCCTCTTAAAGCTTGATAGGCTTAAGAGGCTATTTCAGCTTAGGTAGGAAAATAAAGTGTATGTGTGTCACGATAGAAGTGAAACTTATAAATAAAATAAGATATACAGGAGCATACATATGGACAATGTTTAGTACACGATAGTGGGGATGCTACGAAGAGTCGCACAAAGCGGAGACCGAGAACGTCTAATGTGTTCTATCTCATTCTCTCGTCGGCTGAATCCTATACATTTATGTGTTTGTGTCTCTATGGACTTATTTTTTCGTTTCATAGAGTTTCATTAAAGAAGTTTCATTTAAAAAAAAAACATGTGTGCGTCGGCCTCACCCGCGCGTGGTGCGGCGCCAGCGCCACGGTGAGCGTGAGGTCGCACCACATGGCGCAGCGGGCCCGCCGCGCGCACGCGCACAGCTGCTTCACCGCCTCCGCCAGCTGCAGGATCGCTGCAACCAACACATCATCACCTGGAACTTGACTCGGTCAGTAAGTATTGTAATGCCGGTAACAGTAACACCATTTATCGCCCAATAGTCGAACGAACATCGAAGGATCCAGAATGCTCGAGAATTACAATGCCACCTGAGAAAAAGTGGCTCGCTCCGGGCATTTCAATATTGCAATAATTGTTACGTTATAATACTCATTGTAAATATTAATATTTAAAAAAAATCTAATCTCCTTGCATAGAATTCCTCAATGCTGAGGGTCGTGACCACCCTTTTGTATCACCTTCGTACACACGATCTTTCTCCATCTATTCTTGTCTCTGGCGGTGTGGAGGGCGTTGTGAAACGTTTAAATCAAGAACGATGCGGATCTGGTCGGACCAACGTATTGGGCTGCGCTCCCGAGGACTTTTCGCATCTACCTTCCCATAGTCACGATGAGCTTCTCGAGATTTCTACCATCCTTCCGTGCAAGGCTATCAGCATAGGTAGCAGGGTGTGCGCGGGGGCGGGGGCGTTGGGGGACGGGGCGGCTACTCACGGTCGGGTCGCGCGCGCTGCGGCTGGGCGAGCTCGCGGCGGCGCGCGGCCTGCACGCCTCCCACGGCGCTGCGCCACGCCACCATGGCGCTCTCCACCTCTCCGTGCGGCGCGCTGACACACAACACTCACATTACTCATCTCGTTATGTAGCTGCACTATGGTACGTCAATGTATATATGTGATACAAAACTGATACTATGAAGATAAAAATTGGCCAGATCAATGTGCTTCGTGCGAGTTTTTAATGTTCTCGATAGCGTAAAAGGTATTATTTTTTAAAATTTTATTGTGTGGACATAAGATGTGTGGACGAGCTCACAACTCACTTGGTGTTAAGTGGTTACCGGAGCCCGTAGACATCTACATATAACGTAAATACCGCCACCCACCTTAAGATATGAGTTCTAAGGTCTCAGTAGTTATACCGGCTGCCCCGCCCTTCAAACCGAAACGCGTTACTGGTTCACGGCAGAAATAGGAGGGGTGGTGGTACCCACCCGTGCAGACTCACAAAAGGTCCTACCACCAGTTAGTTGATATTTGTATAGAATGTGATCGGTTGCGTACGTTTGCCGCTAGGGGCGCTGTTCAAACTGCATACTAAATTGGCTTAGCTTTTACGCTGTCAAGAACGTTAAGAAACTCGCACTAAGCACACAGAAGATCTTACATTTGTCAACCTAAGGATGCTGGATGTCAGTCTATAGTGTCTATACTGTTGTATTCGCGGGGTAACTAGAGACAGGGCGTACTGTGTGCCCGCACTGATTAGTAATAATTTATTTTAAATAATTTAGATAATTTTGACGGTAGGCAGCGGCTTGACTCTACTCCTGACATTGCTGAAGTCCATGGGCGACGGTAACCACTTACCATCAGGTGGGCCGTACGCTCGTCTGCCTACAAGGGCAATAAAAACAAAAAAAAAACACAAAAAAAATCACTTAAAATTTACTTCCAAAGTAAGCTTTGTTTTAACTTTTCCTAAATAGCTCTCGAAACTTACATCTCAGCTAAATTCTTGATATCGTCTCTCCAAGTGGAGGGATCGAAAGTGGCCGGGTCGCAGCCGGTCTCCTTCTCCTTCTGCTTCTCACTGACCACGTTCTCTTGTCCCCTCTTCAACACCGTTATCTTTGTGTCGTCCTGTTTGTTCTTCTTGTGATTCGCACAAACGCTCGCCCTTAACGTTTCCATCTTGCCCATAAGCGTCAGCACCTGTAATTCGCCGACTTAACTGATCAGCGTTGTTATGAAGTATACATTACGTGAGCACAAGGGTCTCCGGTCATCGTCCTCGTCGAACCCGTCGCTTGGGACGAAGGGCTCGTCGACCGAGAACGTCTAATGTGTTCTATCTCATTCTCTCGCCGGCTGAATCCCATACATTTATGTGTTTTTGTCTCTATGGACTTATTTTTTCGTTTCATCGATCGTTTCAAGGGTCGACACATGAGGTCGCGTACCTTGGTGTGCTCCCGGAGCATGTCGACGGTGAGCCTGTCGACCCTGGTGGGGCAGGGCGGCAGGCGCGGCACGGGGATGGAGTTGGAGGAGGAGACGGCGCGGCCGGGGTAGGCGAGCGCCAGGCGGGCCTCCGTGCGCTTCCGCTCGCGCTCCAGCTGGCGCCACTGCTCGTAGCACGCCTCCAGCCGCGCGTGCAGCAGCGACGACGACGACGCGCCGCCCCTGCAACCACAACACTCAGCCAACTCAGATTCACATTTATTAGGGCGTGGGCACATGTCTACGGCGCGGTGCCGTGTACTGTGCACCGCACCGGCACATGGCAGTAACCACCGTTTCCAATACAGTTTCTGTCTTAACATGGATCGCGAGACGTATTACTCTGCTCTTGTTGCTAATAAGACGAATGAAAAAAAAAACAGAATCTAAAATCTAAAAAAAAGAAAATATTAGGTGAATCCATACCTTTCCATAATGAACCATGACGGAGGTCATTTTAAGAGGAAATACGAAGCGCGATCCATATTAAGACAGAAACTGTATTGGAAACGGTGGTTACTACCATGTGTCGGTGCGGTGCACAGTACACAGTACACGGCATCGCGTCGTTACACGGTAGCCGGCGCCGCACCGTAGACATGTGTCCACGCCGTTAGTTATAGGTTAAAGTCGTCGTCGATGTCCGGTGCATTCGTGTGTAGCGATGCAACGGGGTTCGAATCCCGTAGGCGGGTACCAATTTTTCTGATGAAATACGTACTTAGAAACTGTTCGCGATTGACCTCCACGGTAAAGGAATAACATCGTGTAATCAAAATCGAACTCGCAAAATTATAATTTGCGTATTTACTGGTGTAGGACTTCTTGTGAGTCCGCACGGGTAGGTACCCCCAGCCCTCCTATTTCTGCCGTGGAACAGTGATGCGTTTAAGTTTGAAAGATGGAACAGCCGTTGTAACTATACTGAGACCTTAGAACTCATATCTCAAGGTGGGTGACAGCATTTACGTTGTAGATGTCTATGGGCTCCGGTAACCACTTAACACCAGGTGGTCTGTGAGCTCGTCCACCCATATAAGCGATAAAAAAGTTCTGACACATTTTAAAATAACTCATTTTAAAATTGCCAAATTACCTCATATTTCTCATTGCGTAGAACGGTGCCAAAAGCGGTAAATCCAACATTGGTGATGGCAACACTGGAGGCGGGACAGATGGACTCGCGCCCAACAGGGCTCCAAGACCTGGAATTTAATTAATATTTTATGTAAATTAAAATATTCTTTGACAAAAAAATATGTTCGACTATGAATCGCGTGACACAGATGTAAGACCTCACAGCCTCCAGAAGTTAGTATTTTTTTGTTTTATTTTCCAATACGACCGCCGATTAATTCCCACTCGCTCAAGTTTAAGAAGCATGATTCCAGTTGAAAATCCGTAAATCATATTAAGCTATAAAATTGCTCCATTCCTAATAGTAAAGGCATTCTGAGTTCGAATAGGTAAGTCACTACCTGCGTATTTCTCCCGCGAAGCACTCAATGTTCCAATTTGAATGGTAAGAAGTCTCGATGGAGACTTTCAGGTTGCGATGTCTATGGGGTCTGGTAACTTTGTCTATAGAGTCAATCACCTCTTTGCACAAAAGAAAAAATATTATCATCTTTTTGCCCTACCACGGTATAAGACAAAAAAGTCAAAATTACATAATATAATTTAGTAAGAAGTCTCTCAATCTTTATAACAAGATAGATCTGTTGAAAATAGAGGCGAATAAATTTTTCAATTTAAGTATTTTAATACTGGGTAATTAGTTTCAATACTGAAAAACTGGGAATAAAAAGGATTGAAATTGTCTAAAACTACCACGAATTTGACTTGTAAACCGGATCGCTTACCGATATTGTAGGGTGCGTTGTCGTGCAGAAACGAGACGTCCACGTTGAGCTGGTTGGGCGGAGGCCGGGTCCGCATCAGGAGGCTCATCTGCCGCGCTAGCTCCTGGTTCTGCCGCACGACCGACGCTTGCTGCATGTTATTCTCCCTCCCTATATTCTCAAAACTGCTTCTCTGTTCGTTTATTACGCCATTACTCGGAAATGCGTTCATGTCGCGCCTCTGCATGAAGTCATTCTGGTTGAAGACATTAGTGTTGTAGTTGACACCGGTTGGCGTCTGGTTCGCGTAGTCGAAGCCCTGGGTCAGTGGGCTTCGGTCACTCATCGGCATTACGTCATAGAAATTGTCGCCAAAACTCTTATTCGGCGGCGGCTGTTGGTAGCCCCTATAGAACATTTTATCGTCCGCCGGCTTATTGAACTGCTCATGCTGATATGGACCGTTTAAATCCATTGGCATCTTGAAATCCATGTTATTAACTGCGCTTTCTTCTCTATTTCGGTCCAAGGATATGTTCAATTGGTTCAGATACTGCAATATTTGCGTCGGATCTTGACTCTGGTCTTTATAGTTCGGGTATCTCTGATTGTTATAATCGTAATTTGCGTTCAGGCTCATGTCCAAGTTCAAACTGTTCGGTCGACTGTAATCGTTGACTTGAAACATATTGGTATCGGGCAGGGAGTTTCTTTGGCTGGGCTCGAAGAAGTTATAGAATTTGTCGTCGAAAGCGTTAGGGCTTGTGAACTGTGCTCCTCCGATTTCCTGTGCGGCCAGCCTCAGAAGGTTCAGCTGCTCAGGGGTGACGGCATCTGGACCTGCGTCAGGGACCGGCTCCAGACCGAGTAGATTAACGTCGTTGTCCGCGTAATTGACGAAACCATTGTTACCACCGAAACCGTTCTGAATATTGAAATTATTGAAGCCGTTTTGTTCGTTCTGATTGAAATACAAATTGTTCTGGTAATACGAAGGCGATGCGTACGACGGACTCCCCGTTTCGTTCTTCTGATAATTCTGTTGTAGGCTATTTAAACTTTTTTCCGATGATTGTGCAATGCTGGAAAATTATTGTGGTAACATTTTATGAAACTTTACGAGGCGAAAAGGGCACGAAAATTTAAAATTAATAACGCTACATTATGACTCGTTTGTTATTCAAGATTTTCTGGAGCAAAACTCGCATTATATTAGTTTATGAATTATTTATTATCGCTGAGTTTCGAAGTATAAATAGAAGGTTCCTTACGTCACATTCTCGAGAGTAACCCAGTATGTATTAGTATACTAAAACCAAAGTTGAATAATTTCAAAGACATTAAAATATAAACAAACCAATTTGATTTTCCATTTAAAACACAAGTAATGTGACCGAACTAAACTGACTTATAAAAATAGTTTTTAGCATTCATATTCGACATTATTGGACACTACTATTTTCTCCTCTGTTATGGGCAACGGAAACAAATACAAGTCAAGTAACAAATTACCATGGCAGATTACTGCCAAACTTCATTCATATAGTATTAATGATATTATGTATTCACCGCTAATCACTAGACTAGGTGCTGCCTATGTTCTTATTTGCATATCAACATCAATAATCAAAGAATAATTTCTGTGTATTTACCTGCCGCCTTCTGTGGGTACAGATTCATCAAGGATCTTTGTGATGAGGTCTCGTACGATCGAGTTCTCCTCCATAATGCGTTCTGACTGAAAGTTTATGTCAAATTTCCAATTAAAATTGAGATGTTGCTTTTTCACTAATTGGGACATGCAAATGGTTGGAATTAAATATTTTAATAGTATGTACATGGATCTGATTATGTGAAGTGTATACATATGTAATGATTATGTAATATTATATATTTAATAATGTTACGCTCTACTGGGACCGATCTATTATCACGGATAGGTATATTATAGCCAATAAACCTGATATTGTGATAATAGATCGATCTGCGCGTCGAGCAGTGTTGGTTGATGTCACTATTCCTCATGACGAGAACCTCGTGAAGGCAGAAAAGGCCAAATTAATAAAATATTTAGACCTGGCCCACGAGACTACCGCCATGTGGCATGTTGATTCAACCATCATTGTTCCAATAGTTGTGTCGGTACACGGCTTGATGGCGAAAAGTTTCGATCAACATCTTAAGAAACTTTCGTTATCCAGCTGGGTTAAGGGCCTAATACAGAAAGCAGTTATCCTCGATACTGCACGCATTGTGAGGTTTCTCACTCTGGAGTCCTAACCACTGGTGGCTTGTGTCGTAGACACCGCCATCAGTGGCAATCTATTTTTATAGTGTTTTTTAAAAATTGTGTTTTTAATATCTTTTTTAAAAAATATTATGTAACTAATAAGATTTTAATAAATATAAATAAATAATAATAATTTATAATTGAGGTGATACATATCTGTCATGTACTTAATGTCAATTTGTCTATTTTTTGTATTGATGATCACTTTGTTGGTGCATAAATAAATAAATATTTATTGAATAAAATGTAATATCTCATGATTATCATATTGTCATTCAATTAGCTAGGTATCTTAATATCTTATATGTACCATTTTATCTCTCTTGATTTTGATTATAATTTGCGTAACTACTGGTGGTAGGACCTCTTGTGAGTCCGCGCGTGTAGGTACCACCACCCTGCCTATTTCTGCCGTGATGCAGTAATGCGTTTCAGTTTGAATGGCAGGGCAGCCGTTGTAACTATACTCGAGACCTTAGAACTTATATCTCAAGGTGGGTGGCGCATTTACGTTGTAGATGTCTATGGGTTCAAGTAAATAAGCAATAAAAAAAAGGTTAATAATAGGCATTATTAATACTTTGTCAACAAAAAGCTAAGCATGTCCTATCTGGAATTAAGTGATTACTTAAGCTTATAGGTAAAAGCTTGATATTTCGTCAAAATCTTATTTGTGGTGGTCGACTTAGTAATACAATGTTATGTATTCTTCTGTAATACAAATGGTGTCCAATGATTCACAGCAATTTCTTTTTGCGAGAAAGAGGACTATAATTCAATAATTTAATCAGAAGGTAAAATAGTTCTTAAGAAAAATGCAGCTATATTTTTCTTAATTGCTTTGTAGACAGTTGTGCATATGTCTTATATGATGGTAAGATTTCTCTGGTGGTGGCAGTATCGATGATTCAAGCTACCAGTGATTTGAACTCTAAGCCTCCTCGCAATATGCACATTCCAAGAATAACTCCTTAACTTAGATAGCTAGTAAAAGCTTCTTAGTGTTGTGGAAGCTTGCTCTATCAAACTATTCTTCCTCCATATCAGCCATTCTAAGTTATTTTTTTTAATAAATTTATTTATGGATTTCATGTTATGAAGATGATATTTAGTTCTGTATCTAGTATAACTACGATTGTAATGTATTTATTATATTATTTAATTAGTAGTACTTATTTATTTTGAATATCCTCACTGTCAAACCAAAATCTGCTATGTGCAAAAACTCTATTTTAAATTAACGAATAAAAACATTTTCGTACAAAATTTTACATGAAAGTAAATTTTTAAGAACTATATCAAATGAAAGCTATAGACACAATACACAAAAGATTTTTATATACGGTACATAGGGCTGTGAATTATACGAAAAGGTCAAAAGTAAAAATGTCAAAAAGTGCACATAGCAGATTTTGGTTTGACAACGACAATATATTAAATGATTAATGATAATTTTAATGAGTATGTGTAACTTTAATCAGTTTGTGCTTGCAATAATACTTTTACTTACTTACTTAGTACTGACTAAGAAATATTATAATATTATTTAAAATTTACATCAAAGGGACCTAGGTTTCATAGAAGAAAAACTACTTTATTTGATAAGTTTAAAGTTAAAACTTCAAGTTCTTCAACTTCAATTCGAGTTTGGATAGTGATTTAAATTATTATATAATTTATTAATGATAGAGGGGTAATGATTTTAAAAGGGTAATGAAATAATATAGATATTACTCTGAAATTATACAATTACAAAAAATAATTGCCTCATATGTACATACAATATAATTAAAAAATACTTTTGGGTAAAGATCTTTTATATTTTCTTTTAATGTAATGAGAATGAATAAACAATACACTTAAATGACTGTTTACTGTGTAAAATTAGATTTTTAAGAACCATTTAATTTGTTCAGATAATTTCTATTTTGAGTGGATTTACCTGATCTTGATTAACTAGATTATTTAATGCTTATAGGAATTATTAGTGGCACACATCAAACAAGTTTAATTGAAAATGTTGCTTTGTTGAGAAAATGCAATCATTCCTTATTGGAATTGGATAATACAGACTGACAGGCAATTTTTACATTATCAGCTCTCTGAATAGATATAAAGTTAATGTACTGTGAATAAAACAACTTTTTTTTCAAAGACTTCTGCTCCAAAGTTGAAACTGTAGTTAATTACGAACTGTATATATTTTAAGCTTTATAGCTACTTGGCATTCAAATATAAAGTAGAACTTTTTGTGTCAAAGAGAAAAATATGCCTGAACACAAAAACACTTTTGTGCCAATTCTTTTAAAACATTCTAAGGTCATTAGTGGTAGTGTTGATGGAAATATGTAATTATGCATTGCAAGGTCAAAACGAGAAAGCCCAAATAAATACCTGACATATGACATAAATTGTATTATCAAATGCATTATCAGTGTTACTTTTACGAAAACGAACCAACATATTTATTGACCTTTCACATTGATTTCTGAATGCTTACTAACAGATAGACTGCAAATGAATTTAGAATAAAAAACATTTCTAAAAAAAATATTGTTATTGTGTTCTCTAATGTGCACTACTACATAATTCTAAAAATATTATGTGCATTCTTTGATGTCATCATTCATGTTTAGTTGAAACCTCACAAAATGTTTTTTGAATTCAAATCGGAGAACAATAACTATCATTTTAATTGAAACCGCATAAATTCCGAAAATGTTGGACAAGAGTTGTTTTGACTGAAGAAAATCAAAGAAATCACCCGGATTTTGGGTCAAATTGACAGTTCGACATTTACAACACCCCATACGAAATTACATTTTACAATAACACCTCGCACTCACCTGGTCTGATTCATTTTCGACTGTTTTGTACGCATTCCCTATGTGACACAAATCACTGAAGGCCATTTAAATTATAAATATGATTCTTGCCACGATACATACGAGCTTACATCGATGCTAAGCCATTTTTTTCATTGACCTACATGTGTATAAAATTATACGTGCTTACTGGCAGCAGTGTTGCTGCTTAAACGGCACGGCGCAGATTATTTTTGATACATCGCTTCGAAAACACGATAAATGAAACTAATTAAGAATAAACTTACGTTTTTTGGTGGTGTAAAGCTATTTTGGCTGAATTATGGTTTTTAATTTCAAAATTGTAAGAAAGTTTAACTCATGCAAGAGTTTTACAAATTTCCCGCGTAATTTGCTGTTTTTTTTTTAAACAGCCAGGTATTTTCATTTTGGACGATAAAGTTAAAAATAGGTACCTACATAGGTACTTAGGATCTTTATTATTTGAGATCGTACTGTAACATATATCCTATTATGAAACCTAGAAATTATAGAATGATAAATGTACTGTTATTTATTATGTCTAAAAGAAACGAGATGATTATAGTGATTTCACCTTACATAAGTTAATCTTTGCATTACAGTACCAATGACAGTCAGTACACTGTTTAGTGAGAGACCTTAGTGATAAGTCCAAGTTGAGATGCACATTTAATGTTATTATTCAATATTTTGTAAGAAATTAAAGACATACATCATTAAAATCAAAGAGAATACAAACGCATCGCTTTGTTTTTAATTAAGATGCTGCCACCTGCCGTTACTATAAGTTCAGCTCAGCTGTCTCAAATGTCATTTTCTTGTGTTGTTTGACGTTTGATTTAATCTATACTTATTTTAAACCAAAATAAATCCGGACTTTTGGCGGGAACGCGAGGAGTGAATTTGTGTGATTTGTTTTATTTTTTCTATTTAGTGTTTTTTCAGGTTTAAATGTGTAATAACGGTGGTTTATTAACTGTCTAATATCTGTGAAAGTGCACAAATGTGGGAAAATGAAACAAAGCCGCTGGATCCTCTCGGGATCCTCCAAAAAGTCCAATGAAAAAGTCTCAATAAATGACCGCCATTTTACTGAGATTATACTTCATCCCATATCATCTCATCTCATTTCATTTGATTTCATCTCAGTTGATTAATGTCTCAAATTAATCATCTTCATTCCATTTCATCATTTTTCATAAAAATAAGAAAATAAATCAAAACAAGACATGACTTAAAGGTCTTAGTTACCAGGTCATAAAATCACTTAAAAAATGTAATATTTGACATTGAAATAAAATTTTCATTGTTTTCTTTCACAGTTAATTTCCATTTCACTAAGAGATGCTTTCTATTCTTTCCACCCGACATCTAAATTCTCTTATAAAAATAAAATCTTTGATTTCGCTAAATTTCACTTTTCGTATATACAACAGATAAAGCTCGGGTTTTTGTTATAAAGGATTTCGGTTTATGGGCTTTTTTTTACGAATGAAAAGCAAGTTAAATGCTTGATTAAACTTCATCGAGGGTTGAGCTTAAAAATATTTAACTCATAAGTGACAAACAAAAGCATTCATTAATAGTGTTCAATAACCACTGAAGTATGAAACCTAAGGTCTATGTCAATAACAAATAATAGAAATGGGAAATTAATCTCAAAAAAAAAAGAAAACTGTATTAAGTTGTGAAATCTCCAAGTCGTTCAATCCCGTTTTTGCAGGATAGCCGTCGGAGCCCCGGTGTTCGTCAACGTTGAACGTTGACCTCCTTGACGACCTGGACTTAGAGTCCATCAGTATCTTCAGTCGGCATCGATGCGCCATTTCGATAAAGCGGCACGACATGGCGACACGAGAACTCTCTCACCGTGGCCGCCGGTAACTACATTCCCGATCCTGCGGAAAGAATGCAAAGCAGTTGACGTCGCCACAAACATGTCATTTCGGATCCTTCCGATCCACCAACGGTGCTTTTAGGTACCTCAAGCATCGGTCATCGTTCTCGTCGAACCCGTCGCTTGCGACGAAGGGCTCGACGAGTAAATGAACCCTCAGACACAGCCCACTGAGTTTCTCGCCGGATCTTCTCAGTGGGTCGCATTTCCGATCCGGTGGTAGATTCTGTGAAGCACGGCTCTTGCTAGGGTTCGTGTTAGCAACGTCGTCAGGCTTGAACCCCGTGAGCTCACCTACTAGTTAAGGTTACGCTGAAATAGCCTTTCAAGGCTCTCAGCTTAGGTAGGAATTTTATTTATGTTAAATGTAAATTTGATGCATCCTATCAAATTGTTTTGTTGTCCGTTGAATTGAAGCCACTTTATTTTTCGGACACTTTTAAAGAGAGTTCTCCATCCACAATATCACATCAATATACTCAAAATCATCTCTTGCCCTTTTTAAATCAATAAAGAAGAGTTTACGACAACGTCATATACCGTAGGTAGTGTGAAAACAAACAAATCGAGATAAAATGTAAAACGTAATGTCTTATTGTGACGAGAGATGGCGTGCTATACAATAAATATGGTTTTAGATTTTTTTTATCAACAGATGGCGCTAAAGAGACTTGCTAAGGTTAATCGAGGGATGAACGGCTATTTGGTTTAAGCAACATTTTTTCAACTTTACAGGAGAGCCATTTAAAGTTTAAAATTTGGAAAAAATATAATATCGTTATCAAAAAAGTTCTTCAGCTATTGAAATGGAGTAAACTTAATTGAAGTTTAATTAATTACAAAGATAAATGTCGCGTATTAGCGAAATGTCGTTTAAACCCCTTGATAATAATTTACTTTTTTATTAGCGGCAGGTAGCCTCATTGGTTATTCTGGTTTCACCCTGACCCGTGGGCGAGCTCAGGGGGTTCAGGCCCCTGCCCTAGCTAGATCAGTGCTTCGATGTATCAGCCATCAGATCAGAATCGCGATCCACTGAGAAGATTCGGCAAAAAATTCAGTAGGTTTACATACATAGGTGCGTCTGTGTAATGAGTGAATCCAGTTTGCTTAGTGCGAGTTTTTTAACGTTCTCGATAGCGTAAAAGTTAACTCATATTTGTATGGAATGGGATCGTTTACGTGCGTTTGCCGGTAGGGGCGCTGTTCCAACTGCATACAAAATTGGCTTAACTTTTACGCTATCGAGAAAACGTTAAAAAACTCGCACTAAGCACACAGGTGTATCAAGATGACACACTAGGACTCTAACAACGCCATGTTTCATAGCTAAGGACTAGATGATGACCGAGCTTTGCTCGTTTTTTTTTTTTATATAACGCCATCTTGTTGTTTTAACACTACAAGTCCGACTGGCGGGACTTTTGTGAGTTTTCGTGAGTTCGTTGTTCCGGGCTGTTGGCGAAGATGATACAGAAATAATGTTTACACTGATTTGGTATGAGGTTTAATATAAAAAGCGACACAATGACTAACATAAAATACAAAATGAGTTGAGAATCGTACAGTTAAACTAAGACTCGCAATATTTNTTTAATATAAAAAGCGACACAATGACTAACATAAAATACAAAATGAGTTGAGAATCGTACAGTTAAACTAAGACTCGCAATATTTTACTGGTCGTCGTCGCGCGCGCTGAGCGTGTGTGTGTTTTCGCGCTCAAAGAGCTCTGTCTCAGCGGGCGGTAAGGCGGCGGCGGGGGCGGTATCGCACGTTCGGAAATTACGTTCCGTTATATTGTGTCTTTAAAGCGGTTAGTTGCCCTCAATTAAGAAAAATAGTATTATTATTCGCCAATAGACGTCGGGAAGAGTTGATTATTGAAAACACGAATAAAACAATATTTTCTGAAAATAAATCGTAGCTAGATCGATTTATCGCCCACGAAATCCCCTGTATACTAAATTTTATGAAAATCGTTGGAGCCGTTTCTGAGAGTCAGATTACATATATATTAATATACAAGAATTGCTCGTTTAAAGGTAAAAGTTAGGATAAGATAACTAAGGATATCTCTTTAAAGTTCACATAGACAAGCTTCTCTGAAGGTTAATGTTTCTGTATGCTAGATTTTGATTTATGGTGTTAGAGAATAGCATGCTTTGAACGCTACCTGCGCATTACTGCTTCACGGTAGAAACGGGTAGGTGATACCTACCCGTGCGGACTCACAAGAGGTCCTACCACCAGTAATTACGCAAACTATAATTTTGCGGGTTTGATTTTTATTCCTTCGTCGTGGAAGTCAATCGTGAACATTTGTTAAGTACGTATTTCATTAGAAAAATTGGTACCCGCCTGCGGGATTCGAACACCGTTGCATCGCTACATACGAATGCACCGGACGTCTTATCCTTTAGGCCACGACGACCAAGTGATAGTACCTATTAGATCAGTAGAGCGATGTAGGTAGTCTACTTTTTATCCCGATAAAGCTGTTTTATCATCAATAGAAAGATTACGTGACACTTTGGAAAAGTTAACTGATATTTTACTTGACCACGCGAGAGAAGCCGCTAGTTTATTTAATTTGAATAACAGGCATAACAATCCAGAAGAGCTTACAAAGGAGCCTTGCTTAATACTACCAACAGTAGGACGTGTTAATTCTGTCATTGCCGGTCCCAAGCCCGTATGAGAAAAGAGGAGGAGGGTTGGGGTCGGTATACCACCTACCCGGCCGTAAAAATATAACGCCGTGCAACGTGTGGCGGTCAACTATCCCGAACTAGGGCTTCGGTAGCCCAGAGAAACTAAACCGCCTCTGAAATTCAACTGTGGAGGGACGAGGGAACCCATCATTAGCAATTTTCCGAATAAAATCTTTACGTATGTATTCGGTAAAGGTCACGATTCTCAGCACTGAGGAACATGACGCACGGAGTAGTTAGGGCAGGTTGTGGATACCTTTTTTTTAATTTTTTTGTTGCCCTTTTAGGCAGATGAGCACACGGCCCATCTTATGGTGGGTGGTTACCGTCGCCCATGGACTTCATCAATGCCAGGGGCAGAGCCAAGCCGCTGCCTACCGTTAAGTACTCTCTACAAGCCTCGTTTGAAGAAGGACATGTAATTTTTTTTTTTGCTTTTATGAGTGGACGAGCTC